GGTGACCCACAGAGGTCTCTTCCAACCCCAAACATTCTGTGATTCTGTAACTGTGGTATGCTTTTCAGTTTGCTGTGCCGTAAGATTCTACATGGTGTTTAGATATTGCCATGAAAATCTTCCTTTTACCAGTCTGGCAGGAGCAGACCTCGTCTGCGTTCACTGCAGCGCAGATCCCCGGAAGGAGAAGTGTTTTTTTCCCGAAATGACGGAGTTCTGTTATGACTGCAGCCTGCTCCTACTTCTTTATTGCAGTAGCGAGAGGGATCCTTGATCATACACAAGCAAAGATCCATGGTTTAAGTCTACCTAGAGTGAAAAGGTGAATGTACTTGCATTACACATTATTTCTCTTTGCTGGCTTTACCACTTGGGTCCCGAGGCTCTAAAATTAACCACCTGGGTCACCTCGGCTTGCAGAGAGAAGTTGGAAGCCACTGTTCAGAAAGTTCAGAAGGAGAATCAACCTCCCAGCAGCCAATACATACATATACATTATATATATAAAAAAGAATGCGTGTGTGTGTGTGTGTGTATAAATATAAACACAAAACGACAGAGGAAGCCTTCTCCCCAAAAGTCATCACTGTTTCTGGGGATAAAGTGATATCTAAAAATAAATCAAAAACTTACAGTTTTGGTTTTCTCTCACCCATTTGTTTCTGCTAGTTCTTTGCCCCAGTAGCAACTTACACTACGGTAAATACCAAGCCATAAGCATAGCATGACACTAAGTTAACTGCTGCAGGTCAGGGACTTCCACAGGGTTCCGAAAGACAGACACTGGGCAAATCTCAGTACTCTAATCCAAGTACCTCACAATTTCCCCTCATGCCACGCTTCAGGAAATAACAGTCAAATATCTGTTCTGCTTCCACCTAACCGTTTGTCAAAGTATTGTCTTCTACAGGCGAAGTCAAAACCTGCCAGGTTTTAGCATCACTTTCAGCATGCCCTAAAATCCGTTCACAACTCTGAGGAAAACATTCTGTAAAGCTGTCACAATAGACTTCTTCCACAGAAATACAATTTATCCTCCATAAGCAACAAAGCGAATAGAAATAAGACTTTCTCTGCCTACCAGGCCATTCAATGAATCCTCCAAACGTCTGTGTCAAGCCTTTAAGCCACAGGGTCTTTTCTAATAGCAGTTCAAAATCCATGGCTGGCAAATTCTGGAGCAGGACAGCAGCAACCAGCACCCACGGGCTCAAAACCATGTTTTCTATTTGCAGGAGCTCCATTTTATAAGCCACGTCACTGACAAATTCTTGGATATCCTCAGATGGCTTTTGGGGAAGATGCCTGAAAAGAACAGCGCAGTTTAAGGTAAAGAGCTGCAAAACATGGAGTGTATATCACACCCTTCCTGATTTCCTTGATGTCGCTCCCATAACTGCTTTACAGCCCCTAACATCTGGAGGGGGATTCTAGCTACGTGCTATGGAGAACAGAAGTACAGAGGAAAACATCAGTAGCTTCGCGATAGTATTTGAAACACAGATCTTTGTATTGATGCTGTGCACTTGCTATCTTCAAACAAAATTCAAAAGCATTACAATTTATGCGATAAATTACAAAAGCCACCCAATCCAGTCACAGCTACAGCTCCCTGGCACACGATCACGTAACTGTTCGCAGTAATAAAGCAAGAAGGGAGGGAAAGGAGGAATTTTTATGTGGCAAAACCACCGAATTCGCAAAAAACAGAGCTTTGCCTGGCTCATGCATCCTCATTAATTTTTGAAAGGGCATCTTCCCGACACAGTATGCAAGCTATGCAAGCAACAACCTGTTCCCAAAACACCCAGTCAGAAGCACGATAAGGTTCTGCTCGGACAAGACAGGTTCAGCGCTCTAAATAGTCCGGTGGAAGGGAGGTGTCAGAAGTTGGAAACGAAGTACAAGAGAGCATCGTAACTATTTTACACAGGCAGGGACTCAAAAGATGCTTTTCCTGTGCATACACCAGGGAAGGATGTGGTACCTGGGAACCAAATTGTACGGGCACCAGTTAATTCTCCCAGCTGCCAAGGTTCTAAGCGATACTGGCTGGCCAACGTAGATGTGTATGGTACCAAAATTGTCGCTGAGGATTCTTCTGGCTTTTAACAACCCCTACGAAAACAGGAAAAGCAAAACTCAAATTGCGGTGCTACAGGGTGTGTATACACCCACCTACGTTCTGTTCTTAGGGAATTTACATACAGATGTCGATTCTTTGGGCTTTGGGACACCTAGGAGTTCATATGCATAGAGAGATTCTTCTAATATCCTCTCGTAGCTGATGCTGATGGGAACGAGGTACGTGTCAAAGACTTCACGTTTCAAAAACGGTTCCACCACAATGCTGAGAAGACCTGCAAATTGGGGGTGGGGGGGGGAAAGCGTATCACCAATCTTTTTCAAGGGGGGAAAAGCAACTGCAATTGAACTTTGAAAAAGGTATCTTCAAATTTTAGAAATTGCTAATACGTGGGCACTGTGCTTGTTCTGTCTTCAAGCAAGCAGAAGCACGAGACTTTGCCCAAGCTCTAAAGCAGAAGGTAAATGGAAGCAAGGCATCTGGACAGCTCTTTGTGCTCTTTTCAGCAGCGCTGCTCGGTGCTTGCACAGCATCTCCCTTCTAAAGATTCCCCATCACTTTTACAGTTACCTTACGATATTTCTCTGCTGGTAAGGGGAAGCCTATTTTCTAGAAAGAAAACAGGGAAGAGTTATGCAATTAAGGACATAATGGGGCAAAGGGAGAGGAAGCGGTGGAGGGCAAGCGACGTGTATCGCCGTTCTTTGTGTGGCCTTGGAACTCCAACCAGTGTTTTCCACTGCTCTGACACACCTCACCAGCTTCCCACCACTTTAACATCCCTTCCCACCTAAAGACCTCACGAAGAGCACAGCCACTAATGAAAACACCAACAATCAATCGTTTTCAGCAAACCTACCGAACTTTGGAGTCAGAGTCTTGGCAGTGCGGCTTCTAGTCCCTTCAAGGAAAAACTCGATTGGGGCATAGCCACTCTGCCAAAATAAAACAAACAAACAAACAAAAGCGCCGGTCAGAAAAACAAAAACCTTTCTTCACCACCCACAAATAATTTTAAGTACTTAAAATGTAAGGAAGTGTTTTTTAACAGAAGCCATGCATGTCTAACTCCAGTCACCTCTAAGCCTATACTCATCCAGTGTATTTGCCACACCATGTAGTTAAATTCATGAAAATACTGCGTCTGTCATGGGGTACGGGCACACAATCCCAGGCAACTGATGAGCAGCGATTTGTTTGCCACCTGCTGCTGAGCTGTAACAACAACAGAGTGCATGCCTGCTCTTCACCCACAGCAGTTCTGAGGCAAAACTCCTTTCACCGGATCACAGTGGAGACTTTCAGTCACAGAGCTATAACATCACGCGTATTTCACATGAGAGTTCAGTACTTTATTTACCCTCAGCATCATTTTTACATATTCAGCAAACACTGCCCAGTAGAGTCTGTTCCCACCGAAGGAACGTCGCATGAAAAAGGCGCCTGCCCTTCGTAACAGCTCACCGACTATTTTCATTCCCAGGAAATCTGAAAAACAATCAAACAAAAAACAAAACCATATACACAAAACTTATTAATATCAGCCAGCGAATCAACCACTTTCTCCAATACACTGATTCAGTTACCAGAAGATCATCTCTTTCAAGGATTCTGTTGTTGCAAATGCCTTTATTTGCTTTCAGATTGTCTATCAAGGCTTACGTAGACACGAAAGGCACACGATAATGCATTTTCAGGTTTTTTTGTAAGCTCAGAGCAATTTATTTTCATAATTTAGAATGCCAGATTTCAACCGTAATAAAGACCAAGTTTTTGAAGTACACTGCCTCACTCACAGAATCACAGAATGGTTTGGGTTGGAAGGGACCTTAAAGCTCATTTGGTTCCAACCCCCCTGCCATGAGCAGGGACATCTTCCACCAGACCAGGTTGCTCATCTTCAGAAAAATCAGTTACCACTGAATGTATCATACAAGGCACAGAGATTAATTGACCAATTGCACTACATTATACTATCCATGATCCTGACTCATTACTTTGGGAGGCGTACGCCAAACCAGCTTAAATTTTTCATAGTTTTCATAGAATCATAGAATGGTTTGGGTTGGAAAGGACCTTTAAGACCACCCAGTTCCAACTGCCCTGCCACCAGCCCAGGGTGCTCAAAGCACCATCCAACCTGGCCTTCAATGCTACCACAGAGGGTGCAGCCACAGCTTCTCTGGGCAACCTGGGCCAGGGC